ATCAAAATATGAGTCTTACATAAGAACAAATTCACAGCGAGTTTCACTAAAATACATCGTACCATTCTCCCGATATTTCAAAAAAGATAATTTTTGAAGAAATTTGACCACCAATAGCAGAGGAGCCAGACATTTTCTATTAATAAAAGTTAGGGCAGATCGTCTTCTTCTGTTACAAAGAATATCGCAGTATCCTTTTGATCATGTGCTTACGGGACAACCTGTATAATTCTGCTTGTTTTCGAATAACAGACCGAGAATGGAAACTTCCCATGCAAGTGGTAAAGTTCTGAAGCAAGCAATCACCAATTTATGCGTAGATCTTGATGCACGAACTTTGCTTATAAAACCACTTCGTGTTTTGAACAGTTTGAAGTAGGCCTGGGTAACTCAGTGAATTTTTAGGAGTTGGCGCAGTGCTGCGCAAATGGCTTGTTGCGCTAACCCAACGCACCGGAGCAGTAACTCAGTTCCGTTACTGGAAAAGTGTTGATGACTTTTTTTACTTCTTTTTGATTTATTTTAAAGGCCATTTATTAATAAAATTTTTAAAATTTCAAGAAAATTTAAGAATTTTCAGTTTTAGCCAAGTTACTCTTCTTCTCAATGCTCAATTTTCTAAAGTTTCACTTAATAATGCTGGCAATCTTAAGGTATCTTTCGCGAAAAATTATGAAAAAACCGCGTTTTTCCTAACGATCTACGTAAAATACTGAATCTTTTATCCAAAAAAATTAAGTGATGGATTTTACAAGAAAACTCGTCGACTTTCTTTGGACTCAGTTCTGTTGCTGTGAAAATCTATATGACTTTTTTTAGTTCTTTGAACAAAGTACTAAAACGTTACTCAGTAAAAATATTAATGACCCTTTTTTAGATGTGAAAATTCCAGTCTCGTAAAGCTTTAATAAATCACTTATAACTCATGAACCGATGAGTTATAACTCGTTAACTCAGAGAGCGGCAACAACTCAATAGCGCAACTCAACACAGTTTTACCCAGGCCTAGTTTGAAGTCACACTCTGACATTAGTGTTCTGAGTTCAAAACAAATATGAGTTTCAATCTATAGATCAGTTTCACAGCTGGAAAAACTGGATTTGTTAGATTTAAAGGGTACAGGAAAAGTAAGACATTGTAAGTGACTTACATCTGGCTAAGACTAAGACTTTGCACATTCATCTACTTATCGCAGTTGAGCCAGAAGAATTCTGGTGTGAGACTTTCCCAATAAAAAAAACCTAATAGTTGATGATTATGTGACAACTTTTCCATCCATTGTTCTTCCGAATCAACTGGATTATATGACCCAACTTTTAAGAACCGTAAAAGCAAATTTGGCTTTAATGGGGGATGCGAAAAGCACTCGAATTGCTCTGCTGATCTCAACGTCAGAAGCGCAAAAACAAAAAAGTTTATCCCACAGAGGAAATGTTATTCGATCAAAAGGAAAAGAATCTCTAAAAAAAATGAAAGACACTGTACGTGCACATGTTTTACCTGATACTTCTAAAAGCATTACTACTTTGTCGACGATTTGGCAACATTATCCGAATGAGGTCTTATGACCCAGCTAATGTTGAAAATTGGCGCATTCGACCTTTTCGACGTCAATTCGCGAACTAGATAAGGTTGCAATATAAAGGGCGAAAATGCGAGGTAAGATTGCACATTCAAAAACTGAGTACTTACATAGAACCTCAATCATGCCGTCCACTCTGATCGGGTCAGCCAGTCGATACATTTCTGGAAGAAACGCCGTCCAGACCGTTTACTGGATCAAGCCATCCGATGGGAATCACCACAAGTTCCTCAAGCTGTCCAAGACTTGCACGTTCAGAAAGTCGCCGAATCCGCCCCAGAAGATCAAAGACATGCTGACAAGTTAGGAGGCGGCTGGCTTTGGGACCTGCAATTTTATTTATTGCTTTATTTTATAATATTATAAAGAGTAATACACGCAATAACACATATGTTGAGTTTTCATTGTCTGAGGAAGTGATGCGCCGAAATGTTGCAAATGCGTAAATTGAGTGCAAGATTGCTCAAAAATATGCGTCATTGAGCGATGTCGTTGTTTGTAACGCACAAATTGCTTGCTTTGGAATTAACAGTTGAAGATGCGTAATTTTAAGCGAAATAATCGAGTTTCCTTTCGGAAACGGCACTGGTTTGGGCACAAGAAACGCTCTAAACTCTGCTACGCCATCAGAATCGATTATTTCAGAGTCAACTAGTTTGAAGGATTTTGTTGTGCCCAAACCAGTGTCATTCTCGTTGTATAGAGATTTTGTGAAATAAATAAATTGTATTTTCTTGCGTAAAACGAAAATTTCGTTGTCTTACCAGTCTTTTAGGCGCAAAAAATATTCCAAACTGGTCGGCTCTTAAATAATCGATACGTATCGTATTTTCATACGCCCAAATCACCTACTCATTCAGCGTCGGACGCGTGAGGTTGGACGAGTTTCGAGTATTTTCGTGCGCCTAAATAAGTATCGTGCCCGAAAGGCTCCGTATAACCACGAAATCGATTCGGGCGCAAGAAAATACTCCAAACTCGTGTACTTTCAAATGTCCGACAGTGATTGATTGTCGAGGTGATTTGAGCGCCTGAAAATACTCGAAATTTGACCATTGTTTAGGATCGATTATTTAGGACTCGAAAAGTTTCGAGTTTTTTCTTGCACCCAAAACTAGTGACGTGCTTCAAGAGTTCGGCACAGCAACTAAATTCGCGGTTTATTAAACACATTTGTTTTAAAACGAGAACCTAGCTGTTGTACCGGGCGCTTCGGGCACGCCACTGCTTTGGGCGCAAGAAAATACTTCAAACTCGTCGACACGGATTGAGTGATCAGGTGATTAGAGCACCTGAAAACACTCCAAATTTGAGCATTGTTTGGAATCGATTATCTAAGACTCGAAAAGTTTCGAGTTTTTTCTTGCGCCCAAAACTAGTGGCGTGCTGTTTATTAAACACATTTGTTTTAAACGAGAACTTAGCTGTTGTACCGGGCGCTTCGGGCACGCCACTGCTTTGGGAGCAAGAAAATACTTCAAACTCGTTTACTCTCAAACGGTCGACACTGATTGAGTGTCGAGATGATTTGGGTGTCTGAAAATACTCCAAATTTGAGCATTGTTTAAGACTCCAAAAGTTTGGAGTATTTTCTTGCGCCAAAAACCAGTGGCGTACCCGAAGGGTTCGGAACAACAACTTAATTTGCGGTTTATTAAACACATTTGTTTTAAACGAGAATTTAGCTGTTGTACCGGGCGCTTCGGACACGCCACTGCTTTGGGCGCAAAAAAATACTTCATACTTGTCTACTCTCAAACGGTCGACACTGACTGAGTGTCGAGGTGATTTGAGCGCCTGAAAACTCCCCAAATTTGACCACTGTTTAGGATCGATTATTTAAGACTCGAAAAGTTTCGAGTTTTTTCTTGCGCCCAAAGCTAGTGAGTGCTCCAAGGGTTCGGCACACCAACTAAATTCGAGGTTTATTAAACATATTTGTTTGAACACGATAACTTAGCTGTTGTACCGGGCGCTTCGGGCACGCCACTGCTTTGGGAGCAAGAAAATACTTCAAACTCGTCTACTCTCAAACAGTCGACACTGGTTTCGGTCGCAAAAAAGACTCAACCTGTCGACTCTCAAACGTCCGACACTGAATGAGTAGGTGATTTGGGCGCATGAAAATACTCTAAATTCGACAAGTTTTAAGAATTTTCATTCCCCCTTAGGACATTCCCCTCAGGAAATGGAATCACCGTATCAATGCCTCTATTAAAGAATAGAGCTTTTCTAACTACTGATCCTTGCGAAATCTTTACACACCTTTGCTGTTTGGGTAGCGAAGGAAAATGTTAATTCGTAATCTCTTTGCACGCCGCAATCATTATAAGATAGTGACGCCATCGGCGAACTGCTGATAGGAGTAGGTCAGGAAAACATCGATAAAACTAATTAGAAAGCGGAAATATTTTGGGCGTTTTGCGCTGGAAAATCAAATGAAAATGCGTCAAATTTACGGGTGAATGTGCAAGGAAAATTGCAAGGCACGCATTCATGCACAGGCCAAAGTGCAGTTTAGGGCCGCCGGTTATCAACCCCGAAAGCGATAACGAACCGAACAAAGTGTGCCAAGTCCCCTATCAAAACATGAAAGTTTCACATGGAACACACGACGTCATTCGTCTAGAGAGATAAGGACGCGTATAAATCAGTGTCCATCAGCTTTGGAACGCATTGTCGCTTCGCTGTTTCGATAGTCGTACAATCAATCTGCCAGTTCAGTCAAGATGCCCGCTCCCAGCACCCTGATTGGCTCAGCTACGCGTTACATAGCGGGCCGCAACGCCGTCCAGACCGTTTACTGGAAAGAGTCCTCCAAGAGCAATCAGCGGCTGTTGAAGCTGTCCAAAGTGTGCAGCTTCGGGAACGCCGCCAGTCCACCCCAAAAAGTCAAGGAGTTGCAGCAGGTCAAATTTTACTGATGTGACACCCATATAGAATTCTAACGCTTGTATATAGAGTTAGCTTTAATTTATTATTAGCATTGGATCATAGTCAACTATGAAATCTGTCTAGTCTAGGAAACCCATGTGGGTGAGCTAGTTTTGTAGGTTCACATCGACTTAACGCCTGTTTAAGTAAACAACATCCGAACGAGTGCAATAAAGTACAAGTTTCATCAGACATCCGTGAGTTTTTTACCGTTTTCTCACACACACAAGGGTGTTTTAACACCTTGTCTAACGGAAATCATTTTAATGGATGGCCACCATTGATCGCATAAAAAATCACGGCAAAATTGCACTCCAGTTAGCCATAATCTTCCACCCCGTCTTGGTTACACCACTCTGTAATTTCTTTGTTTTGCTTGTTTGTGTAGCAAATTAGTCCCATTTTTTACTTCAAAAATTGGGGTAAATTGTAAAATTTGGGGTAATAATTGAGGGCGGCATTTAACTGTTCGAGTAACTATGACGGTAACGATATGCAGAATCTGTATACCGTGGTGAATGCGCCGGAAATATCAACAATTTTTCATCAACATTTTGTGCTAGTACCTGAAAAATTCAAGGTCGTCCAAACAGAGATTGGTTCATTGCCGATCTGTGGCTCAATTAGAAAAAGGGGGCAAATTCAATCTGTTTGAAATAATTAAAACTTTCTTGAATATTGCTAAGGCATCAGCAATGTTGAGAACTCTTCATTAACGCTCGTCTTCTAAGAGCGACCACTAAAAACGGGCGCTTCAATTAAGCACAAATGGTCAATATGTTCGGAATAGGGATTTCGATTTTCTTCATTCTTAAAATAAAAATTACAATAGGTAAAATCTGTATAATATGGTGAATGCGCCGGAAATATGGACAACTTTACCCGTTTTCTACCGTTCTACTCTTACCTGTTTTCTGAGACAGATAGCTTAAAACGGGCACAGAAATTTAAAAGAATGGTGAACTCAGTAAGTTCAGAGTTAAGCATTTTAATGTTCTGCCATTTTTTTAATAGAAATTACAAGGTACAATTTGGACAAGATGGTGAATTCGTCGACAATGTCTACAACTCGTATCACCAACAACCGCCTTCTGGGCGAGTTAACCAAAAATTCAAGGGAGCTGAAATTTTTTAAAGTATTGCAAATTCAACGTGCTGGCCATAATTAATTTTGATGCTGTTCCACTAAGCTTTTGAAATAAAAATCGCAATACGTAAAATCTGTAGACGCTGGTCAATGCGCCGACAATGCTGGGTTTTGACTTAAAAAAATTTTAAGTTTCAAACCGATGTTTTTAATCAACAAAATTCCGTCGCTTGCAAAAACATGAAACATGTGAAAAACATGAAAAAAACACTTCAAACCATACTGGAAAATCAAGAAAAACATTGGGCACATTTAGACCATCAACATTCAATTTTTCCAAAATTAAGTAAGTTTTTCCTCAATTTTTTTGTGCTTATGCATTTTATTTTCCATGATTTAGGTAAATTGGTTGGTCGACAACAATATTTCTGAAAAAGTTCATTGCCAGTGTTCCCATTGCGGTGGCAACCATGTCCTTAGCCATTGACAATGCCGCACCAATAGCGGAACGTTAATGTCAAAGCTGCCACTGTCAGAAAGTTGTTTCCTTTGCGTCCACTACGTTGCTTTCATCGCGTTTTTGCCGCGGACCATACGCGATAAGAATTTGGCACAGACAGAAAAATGGTGAGTTAAATCGAAAAAATACATCCCAACAGCTTAACTAGAAAGTCTGATGAACAGTTGCAATAATAATTTCCTCGGATAATCCGTTGCCCGAGTGAGATGATCTCAGATTGTCTCTAAGGTTAAACTTGGGATTGTTGTTTTCTGGCAATCAATTTGGTCATAGTTTGGTTTAAATAGCGATCTGTTAATTATCCGAAATAACGTTCTATTCAGGCATTCGTAAAGGTTGTAAAAAACAAGCAGTACTTCAAACGATTCCAAGTGAAGTTCAAGAGGCGCAGGCAAGGAAAGACCGATTACTATGCACGCAAGCGGCTGATTGTACAAGTGAAGAACAAGTACAACACGCCTAAATACCGCTTAATCGTGCGCTTGTCCAACAAGGACATCACAGCTCAAGTGGCTTATTCGCGGATTGAGGGCGACAAAATTGTTTGCGCTGCCTACTCACATGAACTGCCCAGGTAACCTCTTTTGAGCAGGCTTGCAGGGTCTAGCTTTGCTTACTTTTTAGGCACGGTGTTAAGGTAGGCCTTACCAACTATGCGGCCGCTTATTGTACTGGACTTCTCCTCGCTCGTCGTCTGCTCAAGAAGCTCGGGTTGGATACTCTGTACGAGGGCACAACCGACGTCACCGGGGACGAGTACAATGTGGAGGCTCTGGATCAAGGCCCTGGAGCTTTCAGGTATCCACCAACTACTTGTTTCTCTATATATCGATAAGCTATCCAGATTGAACAATGATGATTTTAAGACACATGCGCGTCATCTGATTGGGGCCGTCCAAAACCAAGCCGAAGACTGCTTGTTGAGTTTTTCATCAGTGGAAACTTCGGTGCGGCCAAAAGGGCTCCCCAACTGACTATAAAATAGTGTCTCTGACCTCTTGCAAATGCTTTTCTCTTCTCTTATCCTTTTTTGACAACGTTTGGCCTTTAATGCTGGTTCTGGCGCTTTCAGGTGCTACCTGGATGTAGGTCTGAACAGGACCTCAACTGGGGCGAGAATCTTCGCAGTAATGAAGGGAGCAGTCGATGGAGGTTTAAACATTCCTCACTCCACAAAAAGGTTCCCCGGTTACGACGCAGAAAATAAACAATTTAATGCTGAGGTTCACCGGAACCACATCTTCGGCTTGCATGTCGCCGATTATATGAAGTCCTTGGAGGAGGAGGATCCTGAAGCGTTCAAGAGACAGTTCAGCCAGTACATTAGGCTGGGAATTAACTCCGATCAAGTAAGCGAATGAAAAACGTCCTTTAACTACGTCCAAAAGAATTTCTGCCATTCCAGCCAATGGAATCGCAGTGTCGCAATTGGACTACATGAAACTCGGGGGGCGGTAACAGTTCGCGATCAATCATGTAGCGCTACTGTCGCCCTTTGGGACATTCACATCGTCAGTTAATTGCAACGCGATTACTCATGTGTGTTTTATTTGCAGATTGAGGGAATCTACAAAAACGCCCACACTTCTATTCGGGCCAATCCTGATGCGGTAAAGAAAGAACGGGCACCGATTACCGTAAAGAAGGCGGCTCGCAGGAAGCTGACTTTGGCTGAACGCAAGAACCGCGTTGCACAGAAGAAACAGAGCTTTATTGCCAAATTTGAGCAATAAAAAGTGATCGGAACATTTCCAGGCCATGACTTTCCCTAGTCCTATCCTTGGAATGTTCGAGAAAAAAGTTAAATAAAGTACTAAAATACAATCTTGTTTATGTTTCAACAACCCACCCGAAATTCCCTTGGAGGATGTTTTGATTTTACTTGTATCTGTTTAAAGGCTGGCAATTTTGGATAAAACTAATTTATAACAACCAACAAGACCAATGATAGTTTTCGAGTTACGCAATCGAAACGATATTTTCTGCCGTTTCTGAGATAGCGTGATTAAACATCGGAAACTACAAAACTTTTTACTTCTATCTCTTTGGAGGTTAAGAATTTTGTTTGAGGCATTAAACTATATATACTAACGTTACGTTAGTATATAGTTCATTGGTTTGAGGCAATAAACTTCATATTGTCACTAGTACAGTTCGTACAGTTTAGTACATACAGTTCATTGGCTCGAGATGTTTTTTGTCTCATCCGTTACTTTCGACAGTTTGCAATATGGAGAATGTTTGTAATTTTTTTGTTTTCATATTGTTGATTCTATTTCGTTGGCGATTAGGAAGTTCTGATAAATAGTTAGTTGGTCAATAATATCATATATATAAATAAATAAACAAAAATAATAAGCAGAACCTCAATAGGGCGTGGCGCATGTCTTCTACGTCTTTTTATGCAGTGCGCCATTATTATTTTCCACCGCTCAAAAAGGCGACGCTTGCGTTAAATCCGCCAACCTTTCACTACTCGTCTTTATCTATGCTGGCGTCTCGTTGTCAACGCTACTAGTTTGCCTTTTTCATCTGAAGCTGCCGCCATGAAAGCCAAGGGAGAGGTTTGTTGAATATTTTCTTAATATCTTTCACCTGCCTGCATGTTTTCGTGTTCCTTATTCTCTTATGATACCAAGCGTTCTCATTTATGATAAAACGTAGATTTGCTCGAACTGCTCACGATGGATCAATGCTCGGGTTGCCATTTGTACACGTGCTAGTTGCTTCCTTTGCTAATCACTGGAAATTGTCCTTAAAAGTGTTCGTAGAGCCTAGAGGAGGTAGACTAGCACGTAATATGGGGGCCTTCGGCGTTTTTCTGACGTTTTGCGAGATTTTCACTCAATATTTGAGGTTATGTATAAACTAAGTTTGCCCTCTCTGCAGCTGAAAGAGTACGAAGTCATTGGGCGCAAGCTGCCCACTGAAAAGGAGCCGACTACTCCTTTATATAAAATGCGAATTTTCGCTCCGGATCCAATCGTGGCCAAGTCCAGATTTTGGTACTTTTTGAGGCAGTTGAAGAAGTTCAAGAAGTCCACCGGTGAAATTGTCTCGCTGAAACCCATTCCCGAAAGGACACCGACGAAGATAAAGAATTTCGGTATTTGGCTCAGGTAAGGCAAAACAACTAAAATCTTCGTTGGTTGACATTTTGATGTTTGGCTTTCTCGCAGGTACGACTCCCGATCTGGCACCCATAATATGTACAGAGAGTACAGGGATCTTAGTGTTTCTGGGGCTGTCACACAGTGCTACCGGGATATGGGGGCTCGTCATCGTGCCCGGGCTCATGCCATTCAGGTAAAATCTCGAGCAAAGCGCCAAAGCAACACAAACTCATTCTGGAATTTTCATTGCAGATCATCAAAGTGGAGCAAGTCAAGGCTGGCGATACGAGACGGCCCCAAGTGAAGCAGTTCCACGACTCGAGGATTCGCTTCCCATTGCCGAAACGCATCCAGCACAAGTCGATGAACTTGATTTCCAAACGTAAACCCCGTACATATTTCCTGTAATATGGATAAAGTTTTGACAAATAGAATTCAATGACTTTAAATTGTTTTTGTCAAAATACTATTTAAAGCCATTAAAATTGACCCAATTGCCTTTATTTTATTTGCTGCACGTTTGTGTGTGCATTGTACTTACCTTCTACACACTGCCACTGCACATAAGGGAATTCTTCGAACAAACTAAGCGCACGACATCATCCCCTATTATAATATAACATTGAACACAAAACTACAGTAGTTTAGATAATCAGACAGCTGAAAGTTAATATAATTTAGAAGAAATTTACCAACACGATTAACCAGATGGGATGAAAATGATCGAGATCACAGCTATATGATTACGAAGAGGGTTTAGAGGAAATAAACATAAGGACAGCCGACTTAGTGAAAGTGACGGCTGGGAACTGAATATTAATAGAGAAAAAGGAGACATCATGCATTTGGAAAAAAAGGCAACAGATTGACAATAAAAAAATCGTTGCTTATGGTCAAAAGACAGAAATTGTGCATTTGATTGCTATTAAACAAAAAAAGAACGCATTTTGAAAACATTCTAAAATTTGTCTTGGTAACAAAAATGGGGGAAAATGTAGTAGGAGAGACGACGCAAACAGAAAGGAAAAGAGCGCAAAAACTAGCAAATTTTTTAGTGCAAAAAAGTGAGAAATTTTGAGTTTGTAAAACAATATTCTGCAACAGTCTAGGAATGTCTTCAAGCACTTTTGGACTTTGGAATCAAATTCAAAACCATATAAAAGCTTCTAGAAGCAAACGCCGATCATATTATCTAACTCCATAAAAAAACAGTTCCGGTATTCATTAAGGTGCCATCAGATTCTAGCTATTATTCAAAACCAGCCAAAAAAGGAATTGCTTAAAAAAATTAAAAATTTGTGACAAAATAAGAAGTAAAATTTGCCAAAGTCCATTGCTGTTTCTAAAACCAACTTTTTTTGCTTGGCTCATAACAATTTTATTAAGATAAGTTCTATATTGTTGAGGAGGATTCATTTTTCACAAACTGTGTGTTGGGAATCTTGCCTTTAGAAAAGACAGACATTCCTCACGTCTTTTGGACGAAAAGACGTGTTGGACTCAACAAACAGTTTGTGAAAATTTTTTTAGTAAGAGCGCAAATGCAATACTTTGGCAGATTAAATCATAGAGGCAAATGTGTTTAGTTTAAAACGGTTTTTTGCCTCCTGACAAAAATACTTTCCTGGACTTTTCATATTACGGTGATGATGTCCTAAGTACTATGCTACAGTTAGAAACACAACATATTAATGCATATCAAGCATTAGCTTGATTTCTTTCGACGCCCAAAACAGAACTGCGACATTTTTTCGAAAACTTGACAAAAACTTTCAGTACACTTAAAAAACATTATTCAACACAAGGCTTCAACAGCGTCTATGATCGGTGAATTGTGCAAATCTTATGTGTTGTAAATACAAATAGGACATACCCGAATGGAAAATCCACAGTTTCCTCCACGGGCGGGCGCATCCAGGGCTTAATTTTTCTATTAAACAGCCCATAAATGCGGAAAAACTCACAACAATGACAGATGCTGCACCATTTTGAAAAGAATTTCACTTGTTTCTAGGAGTAGGAGTAATTGTCAATCCGACACGCTATGCAACCAGGGAAGCAATGAAGCGGAAAATTTTAATAAGCCAAACCACACATACACAACCGCAAAGTATATTGCATTAAAAATATGTTATATATATCAGTATATAAAATACATGTAAATATAATAGAAAAATATGCCCGCAACTGAACAGCAGGGTCGTTATTCAAATATATTGGATAACAATCAATCTGCTCAGTGGTCAACCTAATTATTTGATAATATCACGTTAATTCGCATCCTCTGTATTGAGCAGATGGTTTAGTAGTTAAGTACTTCTGCTTCACAACCTATAAATATTAATTTGAACTAACCTCGGCAAGCAATCGGTGCAACTGCATAACCTGCCACTTCTAGCTAGGATTTATCGGTTTGCTGATGTCGAGGGGCTGCAGCTCCTGGTCGGTTAACGCGGCTTTCGGTTCCTTTGGCTCAAGACTTGCCTCAAAGTACCACAACCACCCCAAACTGATTGCCATCATCACCGACGTCATCCCAAAGGTCCAAATAGTTCCGTACTCCTGATAGACGTACGTCACAAAAACGGGCCCCATTACTCGCGACAGGCACCCCGATCCCGTCATAAAACCCATCCAAACTCCCTGGAAAACTTTACTAGATCCTCATTTGCCTTGCTGCAGTGGCTTACCTGCGGTCTAGAACCCAGAATTTTCGAGAACAGCGTCTGGATGAGAGTGATCCCAATGGGATAGCCAAGCACCGTCAGGGCGTAGCAGAAGATGAACTGCGTGTAAGTGATAGCGGGAACGTAGTTGCACCATTCCTGGCTGGAGGGGCAGCCCAAAAGATCGTCTCCACAGTCCAAAGTCATGTGCCGGATCAGTAATTCGTTGGTAGTGTTCAACGGGAGAAATCTACGGGCGGACTTGCGGTGTGAATCATTCCACTCAGAAGATGCTTAGAAATGTAGTTTTGCCCAAGATATTTGGCAGTAACGTCATTATTTGAGCATATAACGTAGAACACTCGCCACGAAATCAAATAAATAATTTAAAAACTCTTCCTTACTTCTTTCCGCGAATTGTAACAATTCTATGAAAGTGATACGTTAATACCATCAAATTTTCGTCTTGCACGCGGGAGAAGTAATAGAGAACAACTCATTGCGTCACTGCCAGAAGACTTGGGCCAGTCTATACCTTTCGTACTGATGCAGACTGGCATTCAAGGCACTAAATTCCAACTGCTGCTCCATGTGGAGGCCTTTGAGGCGCTGATCGCAGAAAATCGACAAATTCATGCGGAAGTTCACGTCGTAAACCTTGGGCGGAGGACCGCTGAACGGGATGCAAGTCTAAGCAAACGGACCACGACAATTTTCCTCACTTGCCTCAACTATCAGTACTCACAATTCGGCCTAAAACCATCAGCAAAAACCCGATCCAGATCATCAGCTTCACTTCCGAGAACTTCCTGGATAGAATAGGGATTGACGGGAAGGTGAAAATGGAACATAAAGCGCAAACGGACATGATCAGCCCCATGTGCCAGAGCGACTGCGTTTTCGACCAGCCCAATTGATCCATAGTCAGCGGCGTGCCTGCAAAATGGCCGTTAGTGGGGGGATTTATCGATTTCCACACATACCCAGCGTCTCCAAGAGCATGAAATTGAACACCATGACGAAAAAGGCCACGATCAAGGTCCAGGCGGCAAAGTAGTCTGGGTTGGATCCCTTCCAGGTCGATTTCTCGTCATTCTTGCCCTGCTTCAGCATGGCTTCCTTGGCCGCTATCTTGTGCTCCCGGAAGACATTGGGAAAAAACAGGTAGATGTTGACAAGAGTGAGGAACACATTGATCCATCCTAAAGGCAGATTTTAAGCCGCAACTGTGCCCTGCATGTAGCCGCTTACCGGTGGCAGTGTACATGTTGAGTCTCAGTTTGTCGACAATCAGCCAAACCCCTTCGTCTCCCAATGGGACCACAGCCGCCTGGATGGCCGGACCAACCACAAAGCCCAGCACCTGCGCTAGGGAGATCATGGAGACCGCCTTGGTGCGTTCTGAGTATTTGGTGGCGGCGGAAAGGTAGGAGCGACAAGCCGCAACATTGGCTAAAAAATCACTTTTGTTATAAGCTGATCGCATTTATTGTTCCCGAGCAAAGAAATCACTTTTTATTTCAGACCCTATCTGTGTTCTCTCTTTGTGGTCTCAAATTGGAAGTTTTGCGCTCTCGCCTTTAAGCATTCGAAACTTTCAGCAGTTTCAGCGAAAGCAAGTAGCAACTTGAATAGATGAAACTTTGCGTAAGTTTGAGAATATTCTTGACTCTAAAGATGCTGAAATATTCACCAAAATCGTCAGTATTGTTGAGTTTTGTCAGTCTAGTAAAGTGGGTCTCAAATTGGACTTTTTGCTTGAGCAATTGATTGGGTAAAGCGTAATTGATTACGCTCTCGTCTTTAAAAATCACATCTTCTAAACTAAAGCAAGTAGCAACTTGAAATTTGCACCATCTTTAGCAGAAATTTGACTCTAAAGATGACGAAAGTTTCACAAAAATCAGCAGCATGGTTGAGTTTTGCCAGCTGAGCAAACGTGGGTCTCAACTTGAATTTTCTTACTCAACCGCATTTAAAAACCCGCTATCAAAACTATCCAATTATCATGATCACTATTTTTGAGGCATCTGTTACCTGAGCTCACGCCTACTAAGAATCGACTCCATAGCATCCAGTGCTTGACGTTGCCTCCAAACAGCTCCAGGCAGGAGTAAATGGCGCTGGCTCCAGTAAAGACCAGCAAGGACACAATCAAGGGGACACGGATAGAGCCCAGCTTGTTGCTCCACCAGCCCACTAGCGGCGAGAAGATCATCTGTCCGAATGGATTGGCTGCCACAATAAATCCCATAAATTCCTTGCCGGCTGTCGGATCCAGCTATGAAACTCATGCAACTTAATCGGCATTGTTTTAGGTTCGATCGCAATACCTTGTCTAAGTAGGGCCAGACGCCAGTCACTATAATGCTGAATCCCAGCGACATTATGAACATAGTGAAATAAACTACGTATATTGAGCGCCAGCGCTGCTGGTATTGTTCGGCTGTTTCCAGAGTCTCATCGAAAGCTGGCTCTGCATTGCTGCTGCTGCTTGACTTGAAGAAATTCCGAAACTTTTCCGGCCAGGTCATTATGAAAGTTTACCTTAAAAATCGAAAATTGATGGATACATTATTGAGGTTTTGACTTTATACAGTTTAATTTAATAAGTTTTACTCTTTATGTAAGTATTGGTACACAAATAATGAATTCAACCAACTTGGAAAGCACATCTCAACGACTGGGTTGTAATGGTGAGTCTAATGTGGGTTCTTGGCCTGTCCAGGTCTTAACTAACATGAATTGTAATTGCAAGTAATTACCCTTCATTGTTGTTGGAATGATAGATACGCTACTTCCTCTAATTAAGCCCACGCAACGATAAGACTGTTTTAATTAACAAATTGAGCCGTAACCCCTACAGTCGATGGGGGCTCTAAGGCTTCAGCTAGCGAACTAAGGCTGTGTTTGAAGACTCCTGGGCCTCCGATTAAAGTCTCGACCAAGTCAGAATGTGAATGTTTGCTTTTTTACCTGCAGCTCAACCAGATGAAGGATCCTTCGAGGCCAGCGACTGCTAGAACAGCAACTTAACAATCAGTTTCCCACCGATCCATACTTGTCTTTATCTATGCCCATAATTAACTAATGCTTTTTGAACATGTCCAAGTCCAACTCACTGATGGCTGGGACGTGTTTTGGCACCATTGCCGATGTCGCTCAAGAATACACAAACGCGCAGATCGTTTTGTTTTAAAAATAGTCACATTTTCATCATTTTTAAACACACTTTTTCTTTCAAACAAAGGCTGATAGTGGACACAAACAGACTCACAGACTGTGATCTTTGACAATTAACATATGACAAAATAAACAATCATTCGGCTTCATCAACGACTCACTCACTCGGCCAACAGGTAGCCTAACTCTGTAAACGAGCAAAGCCCAAATGGAGTCGCATGTCGTAGATAGGCTCTGATGGGAGAATCCACACTGTCAATTAGGGATGACAGGAAATACTTGTCACAGGTATTTTGGAACAGATATCAATATGGAACAGTTGGGACCTGTGACCGATATTTAAAATAACATAGGCATCGTAGGGCTCGCCTACGATGCTGGTCAGGACCAGTACGACATGGTATTTCGATATTTCACAAAGCAAAAAGGCAAATACTTTGTGCCTTTTAATTCCCCGCGGCGTTGTCAATTGGCCTGAGTTTTAGTGAAAGGAGATATTTTATTCTCGTGAAGTGGTAAGGTTTTGTATGTATGGGAGTGGGACCTGCACCCATGATTCGGCAAATAGCAATATTCAATGAACAAAAAATATCGGGAATAGCAGTAACAACTGTCTCCGATATTTTCTGTAATGTGACAGGCCTGTGAGTCACAGGTTGTTGACTGACTGTTTTTTCGGAATTCTGAGCTGTTCTTTGTCCTTGAAACTTAATCTTTTTCGACCAATAGCAGTGCTTCTGAAATAAACTAGCATTTGTTGCATCTGCCCAATTCTCGAAACTGGGAACGGCGATCGCATGAAAAAGAAGGGCGTGGTTCTCTCGTGAAGCGAATATTCATCACTAAAGACCGGATAAAAAAGCACAAAAAAATGGAAAAAAAGTGCCTAAAAAAGCATGAAAATATTTTTAAAAAGCACAAAAAAATTTAAAAAAGTGCTTAAAAAAGCACAAACTTAAAAAAAAAGGATTTGAAAAAAATGAAAACAAGTAATGATAATATATTGTTATTTTTATTTATTATTTTACATTTAACACGTTCTATTTATTTTCAAT